AGAAGAATTCTAAGTAGAAAGTAAACCTACAGACATCGGTCTTGTTTAACAAAATCTGCCTACAAAATATATATATATATATATATATATGTGTGTGTGAATAGATACATATAACTTCTGATCATACAAGTAATAATACAATGTAGAAATTATATCTTGTTGAAACAAAATTTCTGCAATGTCCAAGACTTAAAAGAGTATAATTACCTAATTTTGTTGCATAAACAAATGTACATTAGTTTAGTAGTAGATAATGGATGTAGAAATATTAAATGCAAGTTAGTATGAATTGGCTTATTGAAATTAAAAAACTTTAATGTTGTAGATTAAGATGCAAATAATCACCTTTAGGGTATATAATGATTACTGGAAATTTCCATTTCATGTTAGCAGTATAAACATTTTCTACTTAAGAATTAACTGACATGTTGAATTATTATGTGAATGCTGCATATTGAAAATTATAAGTTTCAAAGGTTTTATAATTTTGTTTTGGCAAAAATACAACTTGGTAATAAAGTTGTTACAACAAACCTAATTATCAAACTATATTGTGAATGAGTTGTCATTGTTTTTATTATTACGTTTACATGTACTTTATATGTACATAACTTATATTTTATATCTATTTTACAGCATTTTAGACATTTACAGTATGTAATATAATGGACAGTAAACTAAATTAGTTCTATTTATATCCTAATCAGAGTTACAGTGGATAATTTCTAAGTTGTGTGATTACTTCAAAAAAACCAATTTGTCATTAACTTTTAATATATGTTCATAACTCTTTCATTTGAGTTACATATAGCTAATAGTTTTCTTTTTATCCTTATTTGGTAAATTTTATATGAATGAGTATTATTTTGTTGTTGTATGTAATAACACCTTCATACCTGTATAAGATCAAATGTTTTACCAACTTCTATAATTTCACACCTTGCATTGCCTATTGATGTTTTAGTGATTGAATAGGAATCAGTTTTTTTTGTTTTGTTTTTTCAGTAAGCTTGAAAGTAAGTTCTGGCAGCCACTTATTCATCTGAATTACACAATTTTTCCAACATGTCTGGGCCAACAAGACAAAGGTCTTTGAAAGAAAGGCTTCATGGCATTGGCTTATCATGGCAGTAAGTACAGTCAGTGATGTTTCTAGTTCAAAATAAAAAATTCACTGGTAGTGCTAACTTCAGTATAAAGGACGTTGAGTTTTAAGCTTACATATTTGTAGTCCAAATAAATAAGTAAACAGTGGAAACTGATTTGCACCCAATTGATAGACTTAGAAAATAAAGATTATGAATCTTATGTTGATGCACACTGATTTGTATGATGTAATTGTAGGTCAAAGATCAGCTTATTATGGATGTTGTTAATTGTCATATAATTTATGAAATTTTTTTGCAAGAAATATGTTTACTGTAAAGTTTTCAACATGTACAGATTTATGCACTACTAACTAGTAATATTAAAAAGTCTTTGAAGGCTAAAGTGGTTGTATAAACTATCAAACATGCATCTTTTTTAAGTCAAAAATTTCTAGAATAGTGTTACTGTACCGAAAACTGTTTAATTACTTAATTAATTACTTAAAAATATTAAAAAGTTTTCAAAAGCTTATATGTTGATGCTTTAAAAGTAAAAAAAAAAAAAACAATTTTTGTGAGTCATCAATTTTTAGAATAGTTTATTACTGTAGTGAAAACTGATCCATTGAATTGTACATTTTCCAAAGAATCTTAATCAGAGAGCAATATCTGCTGCACTTCAAATATTTTAAAAATATGTTGTAATCATGTCTGAATGGAAAGAGAGTGATTTTTGTTTATGATATTTTTTAAAATGTAAATTTTCAGAAAGAATTTTTGACCTTGTAGGTTTATTTTTGCACAAGAAAAATATGACTTCATATATAATGTTAACACTGAATTCTACAATATATACACAGTAAATTTTAACACTGAATCTATGAGTGAAGTAGAAAAAATATGGTAAATTTTCTAGATGGATGAGGATCAGCTAATAGCGGATTTTGTGGGGCTTGATGTGAGGAACAGTTTACCATATTTTTTCCTTAAACTGAATGATCATATTTTTTTCTCTGGCCCAAACTTGGTCATGTTCACTCTGTGATCATGATTTTCTTCTGACCAACAATGATTTGTAACATCCTCCTCTACCTCAGCATTCTCCTAAGAAGCATGTGGTGCCTTTACTTTCTGTCGACACAGCATTCTTTATCTTCGTCAGGTCCATCTGAGCAGCGCATTCAAAATGATGCAACTCAGCTTTATCTGCATGCTTGGGAGGAAGTCTCAGGCTCTCATATAGACTGCCCATGTATTCATATTTATTCCTTGAGAATATTACTACTGTGATGATGTAAGATTATAGGCAAGACCACAAATTCTCTTTTCATAGCTTGCTTCAGCATACTAATTAAGCTGTGGACATTGCTGTCAGAAGGCAAACTCTCATCATCAATACTAAACATTGTCCAGAATGCCTCTACACCTTCCCTGAGTTTGATATTTGGCCTTTCAGCCACTAACTTTGCTCAAAAGCACCATACTGTGACTAGCACTTTTGTTTTCTACCTTCCTGCTGCTTGAATTATGAGCTTTGCTATCTATGTCTGGATCTCACTTTTGCTAGGCAGATCAAACCTATTTGGATGCCATTTTTGAAGCTCCTCAAACATACTGCCCAGGCTACTCATCTTGGATTTATTGACCTGATCATTGTCAAACGTTTCCTTGATTTCTGCTCGAAACACTGTTATTTACTTTTGTTCATAAATTTCTACTTTTTTTGGATGTCTTTCCCAGCCCATAGAGAATTTTCTGGACAACTCAGGAACTTCATGGTGGTAATTAGTCTGCTTTCTGGCATCTTTCAAACTAAGTTCACCTGTCAGCTGCATCATTAGAGTTTTCCATACCATATAGAAAACAATGTCTTGAAATATCCTGATGTCAGAAATTTCTTTCTCTGCAGAAGGTGCACTGTAGTCTTTCGACCAGGATTGCATTTCCTTATGTGTTTTTGAGTTAAGTTGTAAAGCTAACATCTGATATTGGACTAGATGTTACTTTGGGATCAATCAACTGATCAAATTCAAACCACCTGATGAAATGTTTTTATTGAATTATTACTGTAGTGGAAATTAATCCATTGATCAGTTTGGGATCAATCAACTGATTAAATTAAGTTCACATGATAAAATGTTTTTATTTAATTTTTTTTCACTTACTCATTGATATCTTTTATTATCTTACAATTTTCAAATTGTATTTACATAATCTCTAGAACCTCCTAAATGAATATCAAATGTATTTTTTTCAGTAAAATTTTATGTTTCTTATTTTCTCTACCCTAACACTATGTGTAGTAAAATTAGTAATGTAGGTTAAATTGAGATGAAACATACATACTGTTACGTCTCCGTTTGTTAATTAACTTTCCGTAACTTCGTTCTGACGAAACTATAACGACACAAGTCCTTACTTAATAAAACTGGTTTATTCTTTCCGAATAGAACTTTACGATACACTTAATTTCAATATTTGCGCTAAAACAAACACTATAACGAACGAACGTTAACTTCAACATTACCCTGTGACTGCAGTTCAATTACTCACTACCTACACACACGCATTACATTATTCTCCCGTCACGTTGTCACCCTCTTTTATATACCAGACTACCCTATATCTAGTAAATACTAGAGCATTCGCCAAGGTACGGAATAGTTCTAGAAACGTGGTGTCACACTAGTCATGTGACTCGCTGATGCAACAATATCCTTTCTGCAAGTCAGCTGTGCAATTGA